TTAACTGAAACTCGTGCTACATACATTGGGATGTATCGCAATGCATCTTCAACGGCTTTTACTGCGGTATGTTGCTTTGTATTGATTCACTGTTTTGACGTTATACTAATTTTTCGAAATTAATGCGGACAATACATATATCTATGACTAGTACATTTCAGTGTGACTATTGTCAATGTTTTACATTCAAAAGATGCAATAAATTCAAAGTAAAATGTACTAGTCATGTACGTGTGTATAGTGTGCATTATTTTGGAAAAATTAGCATAACGTCAAAACAGTGAATGTTGTAGCGATAGGTTTGTCTTGAAATTTCAAGGTGTTGCAGTGAATCAATCTTAATGAAAGTTTCAGACATTTTTATATACATTATGAAGATTATGTGAAGAGATTTTTAAAAAAATTCGTTCGAGTCGTTTGAGAGATATACAAGAGAGCGCTAAAAGTCCAAATTCTGAATGAAGTTGCACTTATACAGGTGGTGAGAAAACGGGTTAGTTTTCAAGATCGCAAGAACGAAAGTACACCAAAATTTCCTAGCATCAAGATATGTTATTAAGCATCATTCTGACGCTACTTAAGAATAATTTGAGTCATATATAACGTTTTTATTAAATAATCTATTACGGCTATTGAAAATTTAAGGTTTGAAATATATTTTCGTTTTAGTCGAACTCAAACATACAGAAGTTTTTACTTCTTACGGAGATTGTTTGTTAAACACCAAACTTTAAGTTCCTAGTGTTGGATTTTCAGTTTCAAAGTTTTTTGTTTTTTTGTTGTCATAGTAATATCGGTTTTACTTAAAACTACATTTTCACAAATTTCAATCCATAGCCAGTTACTGGTGAAACTTTTATAGCGATCGGACAAGGAAAAAAACCACTTTTAAGGCGATTGAAAAATATCGGTATGGCCTCTGAAAAACTGTATCGAAACACCTTAATAGTAACTCACCAATCTTACTCAGACCCCTTGGAAAAAAACCTCTTTAAGCAACCCCCCACCTCCTCGGAAATTGCCTCCTTTTGGACCCTCCTCCCCTCGGAATTTCCGTTGGCCTGCCGTGGGGGGCATGCATGTTTTCTGGAACTACACAATACAAAGTAACTTTACGTTATATGATTTTTTTGCAGTGGTTTTAAGTATAAACAACATCCAGCCCTGAGTAAATCTATATATCAACCTTCATTTATTCGATTAATCATATCTTTCCTTTTCATAGGCAAAGAAAACCAAGTCTTAGATCCTAAAATGCTACAAAGCTCGAAAACTGAACTGACACAAGCTTGCTACATTTGGTGAATGGAGAGATAAAGAAGCCTTTGTCACAGTGTCCTAAGTGTAACATGAAGCACTGGGTACTGGAGAATTGAAATAGTATGTCACCTTTCCAGTTGGAAGGTTGATATTTCTTGTATATTTTTCTTGGATCTATTTTTTTCTTGTTTTAAATGGAGTAAAGACAAAATGAAAGGAAATTCTAAATCATACAACCATCACGTGTCGTCTGTGTGTTTTGTGCGTTATTATTGCTTTTCTTTTAGTTGCACGGGGTTTACAGGTTGCTGTTTCGCCAAACCTACTTATGACATCTAACATTTAAACTCTTTGTTGACCTCAACGTAATGTTATCATGTTGTCATGTCTGTATGTCTGCTTGCAGTAGGACTGCCCTTGAGACAATGACAAATTTTCTTCCCTTAAAATCTTAATGCTGGTTATTGTATAAACAGTAGGACTCCAGCCTGCCACTTGAGACAATGACAAATTTTCTTCCTTGTTTTAAATGAAGTAAAGACAAAATAAAATCTTAATGCTGGTTTTGTGCGTTATTTGCTTTTCTTTTTAGTATAAACTGAATATGGGTTATGTCCAGCAAAACTGCCACTGTGAAAGGTTTGAACCCAGGAGTCATTTCATAAGGAGGTTAAGTATGTTGTCTAGTCGTTCAACTGACAATTTGACTAACAATAAACGACTGTTTAACTGTGACAATAGATGGATCGAAAGGCACCAATGATCATGCCCAGTAAAGTCACGGCTCAACTGACAGAAGACCAATAGCATGCGACTTTGACCAGTCAGGTCAATAACCAGAGTTTAACACCATCAACTGCGGCGATACAATTCACTTTGACTCTGAAGATGACTTTAATCACTGTCAACAACAACAGTCCTATTCAGGACAACATTCACCCGGACGATCATACTCAAGCAGCTTATGAAAACTGCTACTATCAATCCTCACGATTCTTTCAGGATCTTTCCCTAAATGTTAAAGAGGCTTTCCATCATATCATCACAACTTATCTTGAGAAATACAGCCTCCATTTTCAAATATTTTCGCTGAAAAGAGTTTTGGTTTTCTACCTCGTTCATCCGGTGTTTTCAATTACCTGATGTGTATTTAAATGATCAGTGTTACAGCACTGACAATTTCTCTCAGCTCGGCGTATTTGTGAACTACCATGGTTAACTACACTAGGCGTCTTTCCCAAGGCTCCCCGTGGGGAAATAGGTTGGGTAGGGCTCGCTAGGGGTTTTAATCGCTTTGTTTTGATCGCTTTCACGTTTGCAGTTACATAGCGATAAACTCAAGAAAAAGACTTGAACCCGGTTTCGCGGGAAACAGTCGTTGTAAACATTTAAGGCTGAAACAATGGTAAACGGTTTCGACCATTTTCAAGAGCCTCCAGTCTAGCCCTTAAATTTTGAGACTAAAAAGATGATTTCGACTCACGCTTAAAAGAAGGCAAGTTCTCGCTTAAACGTCAAATGTACGGGGTTAAAAAAACGGTTGCAACGGCTTCGTAGGGAAGGAATTCTGGAACACTGATGTGAATTTATTTAACGTAAAAACATTTAAAGCAGCGTTTAAAATCCTAATGATTTGTCGAACTTTGACTCCAGTTTCATGTAGGATTTGGCTCCAGACGAACACGGCACGTAAGCAAGGCGTAGCTTTTACTTGCGTTGCGGTATTGAAGGCAAGCCTAGCCAACCAGGAATACCGTAAAAAGCAGGAGATGAGGTTGATATTCAAATATGGGACTGTAGGCCCTAGAGGCCTTAACCAAGACTTTAGTTTCACGTGAATCACCCGCCCTTCCCCCCCCCCCCGCCCCTCTTTTTTTTTTTTTTTTTGCTTACTCGCGCGTTGTAGCGCGCTATTTCATATGGCACGCGCGCGAGTATGGCATCAGGCACGTGAGCGTAATTTTAACGAACTTTTTAACGGTATTTAGTCTTGTATACCCTAAGATTCTTATAATAACAGCGTCCGTTTTACAATTTTTAAATTAACATTTATAAGTACTACGCTGTGCAGGTTTTTCAATCTTTATTACGTAGCTTTTACTGTTTGGTACATTTCACTCTCTCGTGATTGGTTGAGCCGCTTTGGGTTTAAGACCTTGTTTCCAAGGAGAGAGTGTAACCCTGGTGTTACCCTAGCGCTAAGGTTACCTTACGTGACTGCTAGGGTTACTCTCGCGTATTGGCTACTTAATGCTAGGGATAACTCGCCAAAGCGGGACAATGTTCCTCCGTCATGCGTGACCAGTAATCTTGACAATTTGAACTGAGTTATCTAACTTCTAAGCTAAATTATACATAGATGAAGAATTGAAAGTACTTTCTGTATACAATGATAATGCTTCCCCTTTTCACGATAATTTAATGTGTTTTCCATCGAGAACTTCAAGTTTTCTTCCAAATCTTGGACGTTACAAGGATTGTTTATTTTAGTCTTATGCGGTCACGCGTGACGAAACACGTCAGTAAAGGTGGTAAATGTTAATTTAAAAATTGTAGAAAGGACGCCGTTATAAGAATCTTAACCGACGTTTCGGCAATGCTGCCTTCTTCAGGGTATACAAGACTAAATACCGTTAAAAATTTCGTTAAAATTAGCTCACGTGCCTGATGGCATACTCGCGCGCGTGCCACATGAAATAGCGCGCTACGGCGCGCGAGTAAGCCAAAAAAAAAGGAGGGGAGGGGGGGTGATTCACGTGAAACTAAAGTCTTGGTTAAGGCCTCTAGAGCCTACAGTCCCATATTTGAATATCAACCTCATCTCTTGCTTCTTACGGTATTCCTGGTAGGCCAGGCCTGCCTTCAATACCGCAACCTTTATGTCCTTCTGTGTATGATTTGGTTGGTTGAAGTGGGCAGGTAGAGGAAGGTCCTTCCTCCCGTTGACGATATCTTTGCGGTGTTCTCGAAAACGGTCCGCCAACCTGCGTCCAGTCTCCCCAATGTACACTATCGATGGACACTTGGTGCCCGACAAGCAATAAACCACGTGTTCAGTGATGCAGGAAAAATGTTCCATGATGTAAACATGCCCTTTAGGTATTATTGTGGATGATGAGTTAACATGGGGACATGTACGGCAAACGGTCCTGTTACAAGGGAAAGTACCTGGTGATTGGTGTGGAAGGTTTCGAGGTAGGCTGTTTCTGACTTTTCTGGAAGAAATGCGGCCGTTGTTTTACAACGAACCCGTGCTGCAGCACATGAAAGAGTACTTGGCCCAGCAGCAACAGCAAGCCCATGCACAACAAAAAAAGCTGGTTGGCGCACTTTCAGCGCAAAAGATCGTGTTATACGCCCCGCAGCTAAAATTGTATCTTAACCACGGTTTGAAAATCACACCAGTGCACCGACCCATTGCCTATGTACCTCAAAAGGATGTCAGGTGGTTCGTGAAGAAAGTCACGGAAAACAGGCGCAAGGGTGACCAAAAATTCCAGCTGGCGCTGTTGGCGGAGGTGTTCAAGTTGTTAGGCAACAGCGTATATGGCAAGCTGATCGAAGCCTTGGAAAGGCAGATGTCAGTGAAGTACGCAAAGAACGTTAGCGTCTTGAGAAAGGAGCCGCGATCGGTGTGGTTTCAAGATTTTGAGGAGACTGGCGACGTGTACGAAATCGAGACGCGAAAACGCGAAATGGACATCGACAGGCCCTTCCAGGTGGGGAAAGCAGTCCACCAGATGGCCAAGCTGCGGATTCTACAGTTGTACTACGACTGTCTGGAGATGTTTCTTGATAGGAGAGATTTTGAGCTGGTCCAGATGGATACTGACAGCCTATATTTGCGTTATCGTATGATTCTTTGGAAGAAGTGGTGCGTCTGGAGCTGCGGGACAAGTTTCAAACATGCAGAAAAAGGATGGTTCACTTGGGACAAATGGAGTGTGCGCGAACCTGGGTTGGTCAAGCTGGAGTTCAAAGGCACTCGCATGATTGCTCTGTGTAGCATACGTTATTACGGCGAGGGCGATAACGAGACCGGAAAGGTAAATTAAAGTGTCCTCGAAGGAGATCTCAAAGCGCAAAATCAAACTGCACTGGGACTGGTACAAAGAGGTACTGGAAGGAGTCTTAAATACTGCCACGAAAAGAGGAATGAGAATGAATGGCGGGGTGATGTGCACCTATGAGCAAAAAAAGCTGGGGCCGAGCGCGTACTATGACAAACGGTGGATGCTCAAAGACGGGATCCACACGGAGCCGCTTGAATATCACATCAAGGAAGAGGCGTGACAGGCAGAGCTGTAGGAGATGCTATAAGTGGAGTGGCAGCTCGGTGTTGGCAGGCACAACAAGAAGTTCCTCGCGAACGAAGCCCCGTTTGTGGCCATTATACAAATAATACAAAATCGGCTCATTGGGTTTGGTGATGGGTTTTTCGATATGGTACACTTTCCTTTCGCCTTCAAGCTCATCGGGTTTGTAGAGATGACTCCAACCGCCGCAGAGGGGAGCCGTTTTTCGTTCATCCCGACAGGTCTGTGGTAAGAAGTCGCAGGTTTTTGAATAAACGGCCTTTTCTTTGGTGGCTTCAGCAGGTTTTTTGCCAGTCAAGCGAGTCACTTCGCCGTTCAGGGCGGAGACCACAGAAGGCCCTCGAGGCAGAAGGCCCTCGGGCAGCCGAATTTCGAAAGCATACTGGTGTCCGAACAGCCGCTCAGCAAGGGTGCGGTTCAATCTTTCCACGATCGCCTGGTCTCGGTTAATACCCACCCTGTCGCGTCGAATGTTTGTGTTGTGTTTTTCCATCTCTTTAGTGACTGCGCCCATGAACTCGCGCCCCGGCTCCACTTACAAACGCTGTGGCCTTTTCATCTGCCCGCGTTTGAAAATTTTTTGAACAGCGCCCCCGACCTCAGCAGTCTTTTTAGGTCGAGGGTTCAGCTTGTTAGAAATGGCTGGCCACATTGACGACGGTCAAAGGGTATTTGTATGTTTTCCGGCCCGGGCCACGCCCCACAGTGTCGTTTGGAAGGAAAAGAAGGTCTGCCTGGTGAACTGCGTTTGGCGTGGACACATCGAATTTGGGGCGAGGAATGTGTTTTTGCACAGAAAGATAAATTTGCCAAAGGGCTTGGCGTATCAGCCATTTTTTTGCGTCATTTTCGGAAACCTTCGCAGTGGCTGCGAGCTTTTTGATTCTAGTAGCCTTAAGGGCTGTAGTAAAATTTCGAAAGTTTCTCGTCCATCCAAAGTTAATTTACGGTTCGAAATTTGACTGTTTGTTACGAAATGACAGTTTCATCTGACCGCCAACAGCCAAATTTGCCAGAAGGGCGATGGGCTTAACTTAAGAAAAGATTCCAAATTGTGCCAAAGCTTAACAGTCCTGTAATAAAAGGTTCTCTGTCCGGAGGCAGTTCTGAAAAGAGGGATGTTTAGCTTTTGGCTACTCCGAAGGAGGAGTCATCATCATCACCCAGTGGTCATAACCGACACAGACTTCGCGGACGACACAAGCACCACAGAGGAGATACATCAAGCTCAAGAAATGTTGGCATCAGTGAAACTTGAGGCAGTGCAAATCGGATTACATCTTAACTCTAAGAAGACGGAAGTGAAGCATTTCAACCAGGGAGGAGTAACAACCATAAAGGCAAAGAATGGAGGGGAAATAAAATCTATGAACAATTTCAAATATCTAGGTGGATGGCTTGAAGCTTTGCAAAAGATTTTAAGTACAAAAGGCTCTTCTTCTTTAATTTGATTTCCCTATTCTCCTCAACCTGTGACAAACCGACCATGATCATGTTGTAGAGAGCCTGTGGCTAGAAAACTGATCGTCCAAAATCGGGTGGTCCAGCCGGATGCGGTAGTTCTTACAAAAAACAGCGTTCAGAGCTCTTTCAGCTGTTTCTCTTTGTCACCCCGCGTTCGAACGAATTTTACAAAATTTTTCGGTTTAAATACCTTTCAGCAGAATGTTGTTACAGCGCAAGTGGTGTGAAAGGAAAAGATCCTCGAAACTTTTGTTAATGTCGTAGCCAATGTGTCTTGCAGAGTGGTGCCCACGTATTTCACAGAGAACTTGTCGACCAATACTCTCGAGACGTTCTGGGCGATAAAGTTGTTTGCTTGGCCGCCGGTTAGAGCGATGTTGAAACGTCGCACCAGATATCCCGGCACGATGACTTCGTTTCTGTTCAGGTTGAGCACGTGGATGTAAAGCGTCTCGCCTGGTTTTGCCTCACTGGGGTTGAAAGTGATGCACTTCACAGTGTACTCGGCCTTCATGGCCCGGAGGGTTTTCTCGCTGTGCGTTGGGTGAAGAGTCGTTTGAGTCTCAAACTCTTTGTCGTCCATTATATAGATATGATATAAAACATGGACGAAGGAGATCCTCTTATTCCACTCGAGGAACATTCGGATGATGATGGTGGCAACACAACTCAACCGTTTCAGCCGGGGGCTTCATCAACGCCTGGCCCCTCTGGTGAATGCTACCTCATGCACACTACAACGATGAATAGGACGCCCGAAAGAAGGCACATTCAAGAAACATCTTTTATTAGGGCTTTTCCTCTTGGACAGATTAATAACCCTGAAGACCAAACAATAATTGGGGCACAGTCAATTCTAGAAGGCCTTTACCCTGATTATAACTCTGAGGGGGCAGTGGGGTACATCTTGAAATTTCAAGAAACAAAAGAACCTGGGCAAAATCGTAGTCATTGGCCCATAGGGCGGCGAAACTGTGATTTTCAATGAAAATATGTCTGTGAGAGAAACCCTGCCAAAGTTTCTCAAAGACGCTCTCGGTCAGTCAAGACATGGGCGTATTGCCCAAAATCAAGAAGGAGTCGACAGGTGCAATGCAGAAATAGGGGCAAATGAAGATATTGCAAACAATGGAAATGAACAACCGGAAATAAGGGAGAGAGCACGTGAAAAAGTAGAAGAAGAGGACAAAACGTCGCCGCTCTCGAAGAACAAAATGAGAAGCTTCGGGAAAAGCTCCCGTTTCGTGAAAGCGAAACAGAGATTTTCAAAAAATATGGGTTCACTGTCACTGCCATTGTCTTTGCCGCTGGAGTCACTATTGGCGCCGTTATTGGGGCATTGACCAACGCTCTAAAAAAGCTGGACAAAGGCATCGGCAATGGGCTACAGACAATCGGCAAAAAAATCGGTTATCTTCTCCCCGGCCTCATCAGCTCGATCGTGAGCTTCATTTTCAAAGTCGCGGGGCAAGCCATCTCCTTTCTGGCGGAACACACTTGGCTGTTGATTCTTGCGGTTAGTCTGTCAACACTTTCGGTAATTCACACATTAAATGGCTTTGGAGGCAATCACAACACTTCCGAAAACCACTCATAATACTTCCACACGTAACACGGGCGAAACATCGTCAAATTACTCCGTAAAACTCTCGCTTTCTCCACATAAATCGTCACATGGAACTTTTCTCGACTCACTCGACAGTCGATTTGTTCAAGATCCCGGATGTAAACCAGCGGTTGAAAAGCTGATTATGAAAAGTTATGAAAAACGTTTTTGGGGGCGGGGGAGGAGGGGTGGTAGGTTAATAGCCAGTGAGAGAAACTCATCAAAGTCTATGTACTGCAGTCTATCCAGTACCGAATAAATAAATAAAAAGTAACTATGAAAAAAACAACAACAACAACAACAACATGCTCCACTACAAGACTCAGAGGGTGTATAAGAAAAATTTCCGTACCCATGTTTTGCAAATCCAGTCAGATATATATATATATATATATATACAAATGAAACGGATAGAAGTCAATGGAGTTGGGAGTTGTAACTCGGAGTTTTTTGTTCATTTTAAGCTGAGCTATAGCTGCATGAGTAAAGTAAAATCCATTATCTCCCGCCACAATAAAGCTCAAATTGGCAAATCATTAAATCCACCAGAAGAAATCAAGGACAACTGTAATTGCCGGATCAAGAATTCTTGCCCACTTGAAGGAAATTGTAATGTGCGGAACATTGTCTATCAAGCAGAGGTCGTCACCCCACAGTCAAAAGAAACCTACATCGGATTTGGCAATAGAACATTTAAACAACGTTACAGAAATCACACATGCTCTTTCAGAAACGAACGATACAAAAATGTAACCGGGCTGACTGACTGACTGGATTTGCAAAAACATGGGTAATGAAATCTCTCTCATATACCTTCCGACTGAGTCTTGTAGTGGAGCATGTTTTTTTTTTCATAGTTACTCTTTATTTATTTAGTTTGTACCGAATGTTTACTGAAAAGACTGCAGTATTTAGATTTTGATGAGTTTCTCACTGGTATTAATCTACCACCACCCCCCAAACAAATGTTTTTCATAACTTCCCATAATTCCCTCTGTATATCAGTTTGAAATCAGCGCGCGTGTTAGACTGAACTTGGCTCTCATAGTGTGTTATCTTAGAGTTTTTGGCTGCTTTCAGCAACGTTTTCCGGAAGGCATCATTAAGTCTTATGAGGGAACAATTCTCACGTCTAGCAAAGTCTGCTGCGTCCAGTATCTTCTCGTATTTCGTCTCATTTCGGGCTACACGGGTGAAAGACTGATCCCGGGCTTGAGACAGACAGATTGGGTATTGCGAGCTTTGTTGTTGACAGTAACATGTCTTTGGCCTCAAAGTGGTGAAATCTATTCGGCAAGATGGAAATTGATACTGATTTCAGACCAGTTCAAAGACTTAGTTAAAAATTGTTTTGAAGGCGGGGGCTCCATGTCTCCTTTTCAACCGCTAGTTTACATCCGAGATCTTGGACAAATCGACTGTGTGAGTCGAGAAAAGTTCCATGTGACGATTTATGTGGAGAAAGCGAGAGTTTTACGGAGTAATTTGACGAAGTGTTGTGATTTATTGTGTGATTTACCGACGGTGTTGACATGTATGTGGTTGAGTTCGTGTTACCAGAAAACTTCGTGCCAAGCATAAAAACGCTTCGTGAGTGTTTAGTGTGTGTGATTTTGCCTTAAAAAGCCTATTCTGCGCTCAAAGATTGTGGATTTTAAATCTATGATTTCGGCATACACTTAGCTATGGGAATGATTTGACTGACTAAAAAGTTATAGTTTCCCGACGCTTCAAACTCGTTCTTTATTTCATCGCAAAGTCCTGTTACTTCTGCGAGAGAAATTTACCGTCTGTTTCCAGCAATAAAGCTTTGATTGTTGAGCTTTAGCTAGTGACTTTTCACTGTTTTCCATTCGACTTAGATGTCAAATTGTTAAAGAGCACTTGAAATTTCTTTAGCCAAATTTTAGCAAATCCAGTCAGATATATATACTATAATTTTATATGTCCTCTTTGAACGTGCTGCCAAGAGCACCGCCTGAAAAACTCTATCCGGAGTTGCTGCCTGACAACTTTCGCTTGTCTCGAATTGGCAACATTGAAAAAAAATTTCTGAAAAAATCGAGAACTACAGAAATGTTGCCAACAGACCTTCACGCACTAAACTGCCGTCGGTTTGGGCTCTCTCGCGGCCGCTCTCTCGACTATTGGCGTCGCCTTGAGCCTTACGGGCCCTGAGATCATTGCCGTTGCCCCTTCCCCTTGGTTAGCCTCCCACACAGGCGTCTTTAGGGAAGTTCGTCTTTCATCGCTCCCCAAAAACGCCTAAAACGCCTGCGTGGGAGGCTACCCCTTGGTGCGGTTGGCACGTTTTGCGGAGCTGGGTCTGCTTTGCTTACAAACGTTAGCAAAAAACTCGGCCTGAAAGTAGGAAAACACGAAAAGCATTACTCACTGACCACTGCCAAACACAACTCCATTAACGCCCTTGTTTCCAAAAGTCTGAACGATAACGTTGTCACCGATCGGGAATTTCAGATTATTAACTCAAATTTGGAAAAATATTTTGAACTAAAAGAGGCTGTTCGTTCCAAACTCAAGGTTTAAAACAAACTCCGATCCCACCAACGAAAAAATAAAACAGCAACTTCGCAACCAAGTGCGAGATGAATTTCAAAAAAAGATCCTAAGCGCAGAGTGATTTCCCTTCACAAAACCCCAATGATTTTTTATTTCTTTTTGGAAAAACAATCAAACACTTAAATATATACACACCACTATAATTGATTGCAGTTATATTCTTTGCTTTATCAGTTATAATAACCGCTTACTAACCGAGCGCGAGGGCCGTACTGGGGAATATTGGCCCGAGGTCGTGGCAGTACGGACCGAGCGAGGTCCGGTACTGCCACGACCGAGAGCCAATATTCCCCAGTACGGCTCGAGCAACCCCGGTTAGCAAGTTGTTTATTATATGGCACTCTGTTTCTGATAGTAAAATGCACTTCCGGTGGCTTGCACTTAAAGGGCTTCCGCCGTGACGTATTCGTGATGACGCGAGCAACTCAGACAAAAGCAACCTACCACGAGTTCGAAAAACAAATTTATTGAATCTGAAATCGTCTAAAATTAGCTTAAACGAAACTTCAAAAACGCTTTGTAACGGAATCTTACAAAGGCAGTTGTTGATTCTAAAATTTGAGAAAGGGTGTTTGTCGATCAAGCAATATTTTCTTGGTTATAAAATAAGGATCAAGTCAGTGTCAATTGAAGCTGTGAAAAATAATTCAAAACTGGACAAAGTTGATGAAAAATAGCTTCAAAGTCAATCGTCCTCATCGCTCTCGATAACAATCCGACGCTTCCTTTCATTCTGGACAATTTTCACATTGCCATGAAATGTTTGGAATGTGCAGCCGCTGATGGATCCTATGTTTGCACCTGTAAAACCTGGAGCGGTGGAAGACAGTAACGGATCGCTTGACTGATCAATCAATGTATTTGTGGTCGAACTTGCAGCGATGTCTGTAGTCGAGCGAGTTACTACTTCAAACCCTTGATTATGGACACTTGATAAAGCTTCATCTCCTGATCCAGAAAGATCAGCTCTGCTGATGGTCAAGGACATACTCTATTGGTGTTTAGCACTGGCGGACTTGTAGGACTATAAACTCTCCGAGCTTTTGTGGCCACTCAGTTGGGCTACAAAGTTCTCTGGAACATCAGCATCAAGGAGCCTCGAAATACAGGGTTTCCTGACAGAATGATTAGTTACTTTTTTTCCCTCTTTGTGAAGGCCAGCATTCTTCGCTGCAGTGGACAGAAACTTTCCCATTTCATTTTTTCGAGGGGTGCCTTCATATACCAAACTTCTTCATTTGATCGTCGATTACAGTATGTTACCCAGTATCCGGACGATACCAGTATCCGGACACTTGAAACAAAAACTCAATTTTTGAGGCGCCCTTTTCAGTTCTCGGTAAACGAAGTATTTCGAATGAAAGTTTTGGCGATTTGAAAGCTTGTGAAACAGTCGCAGAAGACGCCGTTCCGTTCAGGTGAGTAAACTTTTCATGGCTAATATTTACGCTGTTTACCGCGCAGTAAAATTAGTGCTGCACAGAAAAGGGAGGCTAATGTGTAATATTTTCAAAGAGACCGTTTTATTTTTAAAGTGAAGATACTTAAGGAAGTCAGATTTCGAGAAAGTTTATTAATTCTTCTTCAAATTTGATTTGTTTGGAATAACGGAGGCCAGAAACATTCACTAAGTTTTGATGTCAGGTGCCCAGTATCCGGACAGTTTTTCATTTGCCGTACAGAATCGATGAATTAGCCGTGTACATTATCCGGATAAGATTTATTTCATATCAGTAACTATAATTAAAGCTTAGGATATATGATATAGTCGTAAAATGTAATTCTACTCAACTCCTTATGGAACTTTTCTTCACTCATTCAGAGGCGACTTGATTTCGTGTGCACGGCTTGTTTCGCGTGACTGCATTTTCTAGCTTTTTCTATATATAACCGAAAGCGTCTGAGTTGAACCTGGAATTCTCATGCTCTCCCCAGTTGCGACTGCTAGAATGGGGTTGCAACGGTCTGAAAAATGTCACAAAGGGATTGAGAGATGTGAAAGAAGGAGGAATTAGTGCTAGAAAAGCAGGCTTATTGTTAGGTCTGAGCATAAAGAAATCAACACTGCAGGTCAGACTAAATAGGAGAGTGACCTTTGACCGTCGGATTGATGTCCCTTCCCCAAGCTCTTTTTTTAAAATAAAAAATGAAGAAAAAAAGTCGTTTGCAGATTAGCTAATTGAGCTTGCAAACTGCGGCTTCGGCATGTCCACGGATGCCTTCCTTAAACCAGTGAAAAAATTCCTAGACAAGGGAGTGAGAATTATACCATTTTTGAAACAGCCGCTCGCGTTCCCCACCATACCCCAGTCATTTGTTATGTTTTATTTCACGATGGTAGGTTATATTTTTGGAATCGATTGTCAGACTACTTTGCAAGTGCAAGAGAAGCTTAAAAGTCGCTTGCGTGTCGAAATTTATGTACAATTACTTTGTTATTGTTGTGTCCGGATACTGGGCAACATAGGAGCTCTGCAAAAACATTAATTTCGCGATGGAAAAAAAGGCAAAAAAGTTAAACTGTCTTTCGTCGTGTTAAGAACTAGATAGATTTTCTCTGGGCCAAATTTCAGAGCTCTTGCGATTAACAAAGGAAAGTTATTGCAATCTTAAACTGAAGTGTCCGGATACTGGGCAACATACTGTATGCCGGACCGCCAAGTAAAATGATGATTCTGGTGCGCTCATTTTGCACTGGCCGGTGACTGCGGAATTTTTTGTAAAAACTGACAAGACAACTCGCTGTATTGGTGGCATAAATCTTTGGCTGGAAGGCTCTTTGGTGTCCTCTCTCCTGACCATGTCGGGTCTTTGTGCCTCGCTCGACCAACCAAACCAAGACTTCTTGGCCATCATACTGCTGTTGAAGCTGAACGTCACCCCAGCGTAACTTAAGACTTTCGTCTCTTGCTCGGAAACTGAAGTGTAATGATAAAAACCACCACACAGTTCTTTGAAGCGCAACTGGATTGGAGTCGCCGAATTCTCTTGCTTCAAAAAAGGGCATCCTCTTCGTCTTCGTCGATAGCCTGAGCAGCTTGCGGTTTGTTTCCTTTGCCGTGGTCGTGAACAAGTGACTTTCGCTTCGCTGCAAGGACTTTTCTGGATTTTTCGAACTCATTGTCCTTGAGTATGTTAAATGGATATTTCTTCTCACTTAAGTATCGCTGTATACTGCGCTGAAAACTGGAAACTTTTGCTGGCTCGTACTCTTCTCCATTTTTCTTGCGTGCGTTCAAACAAAATTTCGACAAAAGGTGGTCAAGCTCGGGCGCAGGTAAGCTTTCAATTTTCCCATTTTTCATACTATTAGCTTCCATGTAGCGGAGAAAAGTGTTCATATCAGTAGCCGTCTTCTTGTTTGTGTTTGCACTTTTCTGTTGGTTGATAAAATCGTCTATGGCCTCCCGGCTTTGGGTGATGCCTGTTTCAGTTTCTGCATCAAACGTTTCCAGATCTTCAGCATAATAAAACTGTTCGTCTTCTTCATCCATCTTTGAAAATTCCGAAAAATTACAATCTTTTTAGCTTTTTCTGGTAGTTTCGCTGTGAAGAATGACAATATTCACAGTTTTTTCTGCGTTGTTTTGGTTGCAAATTTTGAATTTGCCGGTTTTGCTCCAAAACAAAAATACACGGGTTGGACCGTTTCGGTTCGTACTGCAAAATCCTGACCGAGAAAGAACCAATCAAAGCACAGGGGTTTACCTAAGACTGGCTTTGCCATATAATAAAAGATTTTATCACACCTGAATGGCAAAAAGACGTGCGATCTATTGCCCGAGAGACGGTCTTAGCTTTGGAAGAAGCAAAAGACTTTCTTCTGCAAAGATGAGAAAAGGAAAATATGTCCCCCCAATGCCAAAAATGCGCAAAGAAGAAAACAAAATGCTTTTTCCCAAATCATGAAATGTGCCACGTTTGCGCTGTAAAAATGCCAATTGCCCCATGTGAATTTGAAATGTTTTGCCCAAAATGCGGCTTGATCAAAGAAAATGTTTTTTTTTTCACACCCTTGTTAGACAAAAAGCAAAAATCAAAAAGAGCATTACTTGCTCAGAAGGGTCAAATATTATTTACAACGTATAACGCAAAGTTTTTAATCTTGGTATTTATTAATTGAGCAGGTTGTTGTGGTCTTTCACGCTTTGAATGAATTTGCCGATTTTGACAAAAAACAAAATACAGCTTTTACATTTCAATAATTATTGATTTTGTCACTTTTGGCAAAACATCAGAACAACGACCGCATCTACACAAGGGAACGTATTAAAAAGTGGACAACGCGTTGTCCACTTTTAATTGCGACTGCAAAGACGCACACACACCAAAAAGGCAAAAGAAAAAAAACACAGATATTTTGTTCAATGATAGAGTCGTTCGCTCCCTTAAAACTAACATCGCTGTGTTGAGAACGCGGCACTGCCATAAGCCTTGGAAAACACGGCCGCCATTTATAAAAGTTGTTTTGCTCCAAAAATATGCAAAACCATATCATCCGAGCAAAACAAATGCTCAATAAGGAGACAGTTTTCAGAAAATTTGGTCTATCGCTCGTATGAAGTAAGAGGAAATGATCGGCTTGCTCGCTTTGTTGTCAATCCCAACTGACGTACATTTAGGGCGAAAAAATGTTCTGCGTGAGCTTCTGCGCATCCCTTATCGCAGGCTCAAGGCGGGCTTTTCTGTGTGTTGACTGTGTCCGACTGTGTTTGTTTCTCACTGAGAGAGTTCGGACTGAGACTGAATGAAATGAACTAGGTGTGAACGTTTGCTTCTCTAAAAGCCTTTTTACCTTTGTGTGGCTTTTGTTTTTCGTCACTAGTAAATACTTTTTTACATGCCCAGATTTATAACCTTTTCAGAACCAACTTTATCCTTCTCTTCAGTCAAAGAACCATTTGTGCGCTTAAGGTCACTTCCTTAGTAAAAGAACCTGACATAGATTGTAGATAATCTTGGTACACTGATGTAACAAGTCAAGAAGATTTTTAAAAAGTAATAAAAAGTGGGGGTCACGGTGCTTGTTTTGACCTCACAATGCTGACAAATACGGCTACTTAGGACCCTTTGACAAAAACCGCTCGCAGCCCAAAACTAGACAAAAAGGAGAGATTTCTTCGATGATGCATGTGGTATCGCACAGAATTTGACTTTAATGTATTATTTATTCACTTACGTACCAGAAAAATGCCTTTTAATGCCCTTGTTTTTACTTTACGCTCCAAAGTAGAATTAAAATATGACACACGCTATTCGACCCGTAATTGCTCAATCCGTACAATTTAGTAAAATTGCCAAAACACTGAACATAGATTTGTGCCAATTTTTTTCTTATCGAAAGGAAGCACTGTCCTTATTAAAATCATGAAATGAAAACTGGGGGTCACCGCACTCGTTTTTTGTGGTAGAGCTGCAGATAGTGCACACCAAATGCATTTCCGTCGATTTTTGAGGGAGGACTGGGCGAGTTTCAAAATAGCATGTTATGTGAGTGGGGGAAGAAAGTATTAAGAAATCCGTGTTTACAGAATTTACATCCGGGATATCACATTTAAGACACAATGTGATAAAGAAAGCGTTCAAATGAAAATCAAAGTGAGTAAGCACAAGTTTAACATCCACTATCGAGGTTCTCCGTGAGGAAGTCGAACTCAGCAACACGCGTGCTGCTTCCGTTATGCACATTCCCAACACCTTGTCTCACCTTGGCAAGAAACAAACGCAAGCAAAAATTCCAATAGCGTTTCTCTTCAGTCAACTTAAATTAAGAAATAAGTTTCTGTACGCAAATTTTCCTTTTCCCTCGTTATGAAGTAGAGAACGACAACTGCCGGCAGTGACTTCAAAACAATTGACTCTGCCCATATACAATTGTTGGAGCTGGATTTGTCTGACGCGAGGAAAATAAATACTCTTATGTGCAGTTTTCTGTATTTTCTAGTGATTGGCTGAGTTAAATGTGCTTGAATGAAGACCCTCGCATGGACCAGTTATTCACTGAGTTGATATATATATTTAGCCAGGGCTAAGAGCGAAGCTCCCATTAATAAATTTATTACATCCATTTGGAAATCACAGGTGATCCTTGCAATCTGGTTGGCTCAGAGCGATGTGATTTATTCACGAATCGCACTATTTTGTGCTCTAAATCGCATCTTTTTTTCAACCAATGAGAAAGTAGCACTTAAACAAAACAACCAATCAGATTTCAAGGATCATTCACAGTAACCAATCAAATTGCAGGAAAACACAAAACAAATAAAGGCAATATTATGTGGCAAACTTTGTGCAAGTTTTTTGTTGCCAAAACTTTCTTTTTACAAAGGCAAAAATGGACGAATTTAATTACTTACAGTTTCTTAATGATGATAGTGAGCTCCTTGAGGCTGAAGAAGTACTTTTAGGGGAGTTTCCGACATTCAGTGTCCAGTTTGACGAATATTTTGATAAGTTTTCCTCTACATCCGCTCCGGATGCGTGCGATCCCGAGTCCAGCAACAAAGAGACAAATCCAGAGCCAACTCAGAAAGTACAAAATGTAGATTCTACCAGGTTCCCTGAAATCTCAAGCGAAGAAATTGAAGAGCTCAAGGCTGTTGCCGTCAACAAAAATACCTCCCGCTCGACAAAACAGTGGATG